AAAGTCTGTAATTGGAAAGACAACAACAACAGATTTTTCACTGTAACTGAAGAAGATGCTCAAAATACCATTGCAAGTTGCACCGGTGTTTTACGCAACGAAGCATTAGGGTTAATCGAACGATGGGACAACCAGCTCTTACCAAATCAGCCCAGGTCTAACTTGGTTAGTTCAGAAAATTTTCGCATTGACCTACAGGGAATCATTAATGTGAATATTCAGACGTGTTACAACCTGCAAGTCCAGCGGAACAAGCAGCGCGGTACATAACAAAGTACATATAACAGTATTATATCTAACCAACTAGCTCCTCAAACACCAACCAAAGGTGTGGTAAACAACATTGATAGTGATATCACTCACAAATATGTAACTAATGATTATTACAGCGCAACACATAAGTCACCACATCTCATTGTTTGGCAGAATGAGTAAGTTAGCATGAAGCTTTATATTAGCAAACTACTTCTTTATCAGTTGATCAATAAATCACTCAATACCAGATTTTTTCTTCAGATAGTGGGCTTGCATTATTCTGTTTTCATTCTTTAGCTAACTTGTGAAAAAGTGAAACATTACACATGATGCAGTTCACCATATCAAAATTGTGCATTTGTATTTTTTTTTTTTTGTTATTTTTTCGGGCTTTTTGTGCCTTTATTGACAGTGCAGTAGAGAGAGACAGGAAATGGGGAGGCAGAGAGAGGGGGAATGACATGCAGCAAAGGGCTGTCCGATGTGGGACTCGAACCGAGGCCGACTGCAGCAAGGACTGTGACCTCTACACATGGGGCGGATGCTCAACCAACTGAGCTACGCGACGCCCCTGTGCAGTTGTATTTTGAATCTTTTTGGATATTTTGAAATGTATGTACAAAATCAATATCTAAACAGCTAAATATGCAATAAACATATTATTTTGGAAGGCCAAATATGTGTAATGTGCATTCCTATGAAAACCATAGTGTCAACAGGCGGATATCCCTGCATACTCCTGTCCACTTAAGTTACCCAGGAATATGTGGGACCATTTATTTCCAATAATTTCTGTTCTACCAAAAGACTCGGGAGGCAGGAATAGAAGGAGCCCACCCCTGGGGTTTTTTTTCCTGCAGGTGCAGTCTAGCCTTTTGTCTGTGTACATGATATTACATATTACAGGTACTTTTCACGTAGGTCAGAGACTTGTGTGTAGAGAATCAGTAAACTAGGTTCTTCACCAGTCGGTCTCCAGTGTTTCTGATTCATTCACCAGGTGGAGACTCAGTGTTGAATGAACCCAGACACACACTTAAGTTAACTCTGTTGCTGCTGGAGACCAGCTGGAGAACATCTATGTGAGTGGTCCCCAACCTTTTCCAACTCATGGCTCAATTAAAAACCTTAAAAAATATTGGCAGCCCACATCTGACCCCATAACAATATGGACAATATGGAGGAACATTCAGGAGAAACAAGTATATAATGTGGTCTGGCCAATGAAAGATAATTTATTTTCAAAACTATCAAAAATAAGATTTATATTTGAATTTTTTTAAAATCACATTTTCTATAATTACATCTTTTCACCAAAATTGTACTGGTGGGCCGCAAAGGTATTACAAATGGACCGAAAAATCATTTGCCGTAGCCCACATGTTGGGAACCACTGACCTATATGTTACTGTTTTTATTTGTTTTATCATTTATCAATGATTCAAGTCCCTGACTTTATGACTCTTCTTTAATTCACCTACTGCTGCACAATGTTTTAGCTTTTACCCTTATTCCATAATTACCAACTGTCCCAACAGTTAAAGCTTCTGAGTAAAAGTCTTGTTTCGAGGCTTTGAAGGGTGAAACAGCTACATTTGTTTCTTCGGACCAAAGTGAGGGCCTAAAGGAGGCTCATGCTCCTCAGTTTGCTCTTACATCAGTGACTGAGGGGTTTAGTCACCTAGCTGAAGATGTTTAAATGATCTCTTCTTTAATTTTGCAAGTTGTGGGATAAAAAATGTATGATTTATAGCAAAGAATACAGGCCAGTGTTTCCAGACATTGCAGATGTAAACAAACATCAGAAAATATCAAGTTAAGTTTGTTTGTTCTACTTTCAGAGGGATAGCAGCTTCTAATCCTGTGGTTTACACACTGTTGCTGAGAAACCTTTTATTTACTTTTGTTTAAAAGTTTAAATTGATCTTTCTTATTTTGCAATTTTCAGGGATGGAGGAGCAAAACAGTTATATAGTTCAACAAATTATTATCCTCTTTCTCTGAGAAAATGAGATTAGAAGATACAGAGTACAGAGCTGGAAATGGGACATTGTTAGCTTAGCATGAAAACTGTCTAGAAAGCATCTCAACTTGTCCTACACAAGAACTGTGGTGTGTGGTGCGACGTGTTGACTTAAGTTATGTGTAAATTTTCATTTAGTAAACATTTATACTGTAATTGGGCTAAAGAACAGCTGGAGCAGCGAGTTCCTGTTGTGACAGTTACCTCACAGCACAGGAAGCGAGCTAACCTTCATCTTCCCTCTGTGTTTTTGCTGAAATCTCCATCTTTAATCTGCAAGTCAGGATGAAGAGACGGACACAAAATAGAACCAAAGCACGGGGTTACAAAAGAGACAAAAGAAAAAATAACAGCATTTAAACTCAGCTCCACTTCACTTTATTAATATGTAACTTTAAACAAGAAACAGATGATCCAAAGTGCTCTACAGTGCACACAGAGAATAAAACAAAGGAGACAAAACACAATGAGGAGATCAATTATAATAATTATTATAATAATAATAGTGGCGAATGTGCACAGATCTTGGTGGATATGCTCTCGTTGGATCAAATTCTCATTGGTCCAACAATTGCAGAGGTTACTCTGATAAGGAAAAAAACATTACCTGTGAAAAAGAGAAGGGGGTGGTTTGAAAACACCCAATTTTCACAGCTTTGATTTTCAACCTAATCGAGACTGCTATGTCTGACTTACTTAACGTTACTGAACATTCACTGAATATCTACTGAACGTTTTCTCAGAGTCGGCTGCAAAACAATCAACACCATGTCAAAGACGTCATCGTATGGCTGAGTTTTGCTAAAAGGGACGACCAAAAACTCAAGTGTAAACTTTGTGAACAGCAGTTTGCATATGACAGCTACAAGATTACATCCAAGGCCAAAACTGGAGTATGAAAATCGATAGCTGGTTAGCTACAGTTAGATGGTGAATCGACAACTTGTCATGGAATAGGTTGGGTACCACTGGTCTAATAATTAGGTTAAAATGAGTTAATATACTGCAAATGCTTTTATGCTTATTTATGATTTATTTAAACTAATAAGATAATAGATGGAGATAATGCGCAGACCCCCCCCCGTGACCAATCAATTGGGAGCAGGTGCGACATTAACTCTTTAACTCTACCTAATTTCTGTTGTTATATTGTTGTTATATTGCCTACTGAGCCTCTTGCCTGTAGTGTGCTACTTAGTAAACTTTGTGTTTAAAGGTGCTATATAAATAAAACTATTATATCATTATTATTATTATATATTATTATTTGAGATATGAACTGTATTCATTTACACCTTTTAAATGTCTGACTATAAAGCATCTCAGTGTAAATATTTTGCAATACTTCACACTACATAAGTCCTAGTTTGTGTGTTGCAACCTGCCCATCACCTTCACCCATCACTTTCCTTCTGTTTTTCTACTCAAATCTTCAATCTGCAAGTCAGGATGAAGAGACAGTTAAAATGTCAAAACAGTTCCTCAAAAACAAAGCACAAGGTTAGAAAAGGTCTTTTTCCAGGGTTAAAAGAAAAGACACCAAAACCGAACTTTAGGGTTTCAACACAAAATACAGCCATAGCTACATATGTTTGTGAAACAAAGCTAGCATGTAAGTTTAAAAAGTGAAAAACTTCTTTAACATTTCCCATGCCACATGACACTAAGCATTAATTCATACTCAATTTTCATAGCTTCAAAATGTGCACTGCAACAGCTACAGAAACATCCTGTAAAAAGTTATGAAAGATTGAAGCCTATCTGTAGACTTCTGGAAATGAACTACAACCAACCTGCCAACTGCCAACCACCTAACAACATGCTGCACATTAACACTTTGTTCGAATTATGAGGGGGCAATTGGGGGATTGGGGGTGTGACCCCTAAGTGTTTGATTAAGACTTGTACCCCCAAAATAGGTAAAAACCTCAGATAAGGAGTGTTGAAACATTTATATATCCCTCTTGCCTGCAATTGTACATATTACAATATATTCTCCATATTCATGCCTGGATCATTTTGTTCTACGATTTTAAACGACCCCAAGTGGTGTCTATTTCTTAACCTTAACATTAGCTAAACATTAAAAAAAAAAAATACAACACCAAAAGAGAGAAAAGTGATATCAGCTACTTTTAATGACACAAATTGTTTGTTAAATTTTAAAGAGAAGTCAAGAAAAACATTAACCACATTTGTGAAAATTTGAAGACAGAGACCTAAGAAAACTTGCTAAACCACGAGTTAAATCTTCAAAATCAATAATAAGACTAAGAAATATTGGGCCACTCAGCATTTCATATCCTTAGAGAAAGAGACTGAAGGTTCAGTTTTACAGAGTATAGCTGTGTTTTGCTAGAATCACAATTGTAAGGGAAAATAAAATAGGACCTATGATGGAGCCTTGGGGTACACCACAGGAGAAAGTCGCAAGAAATGATCAATCACAATGATTTCTATAAAAAAGGCCCTTTGATAACCTTTGAATCAGTCAACAGGCCTCCAAAGGTCATGGGTCAAGGCTACATGACAACACAAATGCTACAGTCTGTGGTCAACTTCCTTAAACAAACTGCAGAATGTCTTTATCATCGTCTGCCTTTATCATTTCTTTGAGAAACGGTCAAATATGGGCAGGGTGCCCCTCTGAGGGTTTGGCCATGGTCAAACTCTCCTCTATAAAAATGTTGTTTCCTTCTAACTGCAATCACTGTGACAGCAACTCGCACTGAGAAGAAATCCAAGTCAACAGCATCTTATAGACGTCTTCCTCCACCAAGGCAGGTAAAAGATGTTCACTTGGCAAAATTTAATATAAATCACAACTTCAATTACAAATGATAAAAACTTAAATTCAAGTAGGTAAATGGGGGGTTTCTCTACAGCACCAGGTGTTATGGTTAGTGGTAGCAATTTCCATACCTTCACTTTTCAATTTAAAGATACATTCATTGACTCTGGTTTAACACTCAAAAATCCTTCATTTTGTTTGCTTTTTATGATGTTGTGAAACATGAATTTGTCAGTGTAGCGTTAAGGTTGCTCTTGAAAACGGGTTTGAATTAAGGTTAGTACTGGTATACTTGTTTGCTTTAAAAAATATGGTTTTATTTACTGGATTTATACTTAAGTCTCATTAGTCCTGATATCTTGCAAATATTTTAAACGTGTCACCAGATTAGATACAGTGTTTTTTCTTATTGAGCTTGACAGTTCATTTTTCATTAGGTTAGTTGCATAATATGTGGACATTTTTCACATTACATTATAGGCAAAATTAATTGAAAAAGTATCATCAGTTTGACCGATAATAAAAAATAATCAATAGTTGAAACCCTTTATAAAACCACTTCTGTGTACTACAGTAATACAAGTAGAAACTAGAAGCATGATTTTTGTCCTCCATCTCTTTCATGGAGGTGCACTAGGAAGTCATGTTTGAAAGGCCAGTAAAAGTAAAAATTACATATAAATTTTTACTTTTTATTGTTGTTCTCGTGTGTTTCCATGAATTTCCCTAAGTAAAGTATCTATCTATCATCTATCTATCTCTATCTATCTATCTATCTATCTATCTATCTATCTATCTATCTATCTATCATGTTTTAGGTCTCAGATCCTGCTGGCAGCAGCAGTGAAGGTGAGAACTCCCATGATCCTGATCCTGATGTTGTCTGACACTTTATTTGTTCATTTTTGTTTGACTCTTTGCCAAATTTCTCAACAATCAGCAAATTTTACAGATTTTTTTCTACATTTACTTTAACTAACCTCGCTGAACTTCACAGAAAAAACTACAATTAAGACCAGTTTTTAAACCGTTATATCTCAATATAAAATATTGTGTAATATGCAGGTTGTTCATTTAAACCTTGTGTTTTAATAACAACCTGTTATCATTATTATTATTATTATTATTATTATTATTATCATTATTATTATTATTTATTATTATTATTATTATTATTATATTATTATCATTATTATTATCACTCTCCCTGTTTTAATGCTCTGTGGTGATGCTGTTGTTAAAACACTCAGATGGCCGGCCTGAGATGGATGGCTGTGACGCTGGCCGTGTTCCTGTCTACTGGAAACAGTTTGGACGTGGGTCAGAACCAACTGGCAACAATTGTACAAGAAGTTCTGGACAAGTGAGTCAACTTTCTCTGTAATGTAGAGGGAGAACTTAAAGGCTGTTTCTGTAACAGCTGTTTATGGATTTTTAAAAGAAAATAAACTTTCTAACTCTATATCTATATCAATATTTCAAACAAATTGATTAGTAATCTGAAGAGGAGCAAATCTTTCATCTCTTTTTTCTGTTGAGAGAACTGAACTGGTTTAATCGAATGAATTTTATATTTTCTGTATGTTGATTGTCTCTTTCTATTATTCAGACAGTTTCTATGATCAAAGTCTTTGATCAGTGCCTCCTTCCATCTGTCGTACGATCAAACATACCCACTAACATCTGTGTCTGTTTCCTTTGGCAGGTATACGAAACCCAACAATGATCAAAGGTCAGCAAAGATTTATGTAAACTTTACTTATATAGCACTTTACAAAACAACACTTAAAGTTACAGCAAAGACAAAGAACAGAAAAAGAAAAAACAAAAGACTATAAAAACCCTGCTATTTAATTCACAATATCCAAACCATTTGATTTCCAAAAAGTACAGACAATAACAGATGTCCTGAGTAACATGTAAATGAAGTAGACAGTTTTACTTAATCAATACTTCTATCTTCTACCTAACTTTCTATTGTTCATTAATATACTGTTTTGACATATGGTTAACATTGTGTGCATCTGTTTCCTCTGACAGAGAATTACCCATGTTCAGTCTGGCTGTAAGCATCCCAAAGAGCGGGGACTCTTATGATGTCGCAGCAGGCCCTGACAATGGTGTGGCAGTGAAGAATGCTATGTTGAAATGTGAGGTTTACACTGGCACGAAGGTGGTAGGAGCCACACTTCTGAGACTGTCAGACATTTTCACTCGGTGTAAAGATGGACGTGTGCAAAGGCAAGATGTTCTGCAACGATGCCCTGAAAGGGTTGTGACATGGCTTGATGTTAAGAAAAAGTGCAGGGATAAAGTTGGTAATATAGATGATCATGCAGAGTACCGCACCCTGCAGGCACTCAGAACTGGACCATCCAGTAATTTTAATGATTTGATGCTTTTCTATGTTTATGCCGCTCCATGTCATCTAAGATGTACTCAACCAGGTGACGGGGGTATTCTCAATAGCATAAAAAAGATTAAAAAGTGGGGTAATTATGCTGTGGTGTTTAAAAAGCTTTTCAACCCCAGCGATGGTACCGTTGTATCGCAGTCGTTCCGAGAACAATCTCTTCTTAACCTTGCTTCCTTGGGCAAAATCGATCTTAAGAACATTTTCCGTTGTGACTACATAAGCGGTCGGATGCAATGTGTCAGCTGCTCCACTGATGGTGGAGTTACACCCTATTGTGTTTCAGATGATACACAAACTGGTTTCCAGCCTCAACAAGGCAGTGGTAGTTTCAGAGGCGGTGGCCCTGGAGTGGCCAGTGGCAGCGGAGGGGCCATGAACAGACAAGGCAGTGGTAGTTTCAGAGGCGGTGGCCCTGGAGTGGCCAGTGGCAGCGGAGGGGCCATGAACAGACAAGGCAGTGGTAGTTTCAGAGGCGGTGGCCCTGGAGTGGCCAGTGGCAGCGGAGGGGCCATGAACAGACAAGGCAGTGGTAGTTTCAGAGGCGGTGGCCCTGGAGTGGCCAGTGGCCGAGGAGGGGCCATGAACAGACAAGGCGGTGGTAGTTTCAGAGGCGGTGGCCCTGGAGTGGCCAGTGGCCGAGGAGGGGCCATGAACAGACAAGGCAGTGGTAGTTTCAGAGGCAGCAGCCAAAGAAGCCAGCGGGGCGCAGCAGGCGGAGGCAACCATTAATGAGTTAGCAGGGGCAGAGGAGGTAGGGGTTGTGGAGGACTGCACAGGATGAATGTGACAGAAGTTTAATTTGTGCATTTCCCTATAATTGGTTTTCAAACGCTTGCAGCTTATATGACATAAACTGCCACAACTCTAGAGAAAAACATTTACACATTTACTGTTCTCGATGCATTTGGGAAAAAATGCAATTTGCTTTAGATTTAAGAGTCTGTCAAATGAATGCAACACATATGACCGACAGACCTTCACAATAAAGGCGACCAGCTGCATGATAGATTTAAACGACCAGTTGTCTTGAGTCTGACTCTGGCCTGGAAATGCACAGTTTATCCTTGTATCCTCGCTCAGTGTGCTGATGTACTTAGATTGAGGTATGCTCCTGAAATCAGTCTAGCCTACAGGCCACTTATCTCGTCAGCTTTTGTTGTTTTATTTAAATCTTCGCCTGCATCTATGAGACTGTTTTCAGATAATATTCACAAAAAAATATAAATTAATAGCATGAATTGGTTGGGAACAACTTTGTCAATAGTCCTCTAATGTGTGATTAAATATAAAATACATTGAATAGTTTGTTTTAACTAAAATAAAGAGGTTTGATGTGAATTATACAATAAATATCATACACTGTCCTTCTGTAAAGAAAAGTCTCTGTTCTTTCTAAATTAAAGCTTGGCTCAGCATCCACTCTCATGTGTCTGTGTGTTCATCATTGTCAATCACAATATCTGCAAAAATAATCACAATATGATTTTTTTTTTGCATATCATGTAGCCCTAGTGAAAACCATGTTAAACAAAACTTTTTCATAGCAGAGTATTTTTACAGAGTTGAAAACATGTCTGGAGAGGAACGTTACCGTTGGGGAGATGTTGGGTTTCAGTTAAACATGATATGTCTGGTTTTGCAAGTCAATGGGGACTTCTTCAACATTTAACTTCCTCTGATGAGTATTTAAACAGAACCACAACAATCGTATTCATGCTGAAGTTGGCATCAGAAGATACTGTTTTGCTGGAGTGGATAAACTATTGAAACATGATGAATGTTTTGTAGATACATTTATTAACTTTCCCATTTATGTTGATGGAAAACACGTTCTGCAGCAAATAAATAATATAAAAAACTTATTTCCTAGGCGACAAAGTTGTTGTTACTCACCCCTGCCAGTACGTCTGCGTCCAGCGGCTTCTTGGTGCGAACCGTTGTGCTGGTTTCTCCAAGCGTGAAGCTCAGCTCCACAAACTCCATGTGGTCGGGGAAGACGTAAGGCACCAGCTTGACATTATTTCCTGCTGCGATACCATTCACCACCTCCACATCCCCTGCAGCATCATGGGAACATCGTGAGACGGGAAAGATAAACATCTCATCTACCAACTGATGGACTCACAGCTCCCAATGTAACTAAAGTGTTACAGGTTTAACTGATGGAGGACTGTGCCAAAGAGCAGGACCAGGAGTTTCATTTCCTCTGAAACGACACGGAAGAATCAAGTTTTATCTTCACTTCACATCAATAAATATTTATGATTAGGATAAATCTTTGGCATCTGCAGCCACACATCTGTATGTCAGACTTCAGAGGTGGATTTTTGTCCTCACTTGTACCTATCATGTGATTTTTTTTATAGTGTTTTCCATCTGTAGAGTGTCATATGTTCGTGGAGCAGAGTAAAACGTTTACTGTGTCTTTGACAACTGATGTTTCCTGTTAGAAGACTGAACTAATTTAAAAGTAAACTGATTTTGTCATAGCACCAAAAATCCTAAGATTAAAACTGTCAACAGAGTGCTGTCAGTAGAGGCAGTAGTAATGTACTGTCAACTGAGACTAACTAACACTAAACACAATTCAATATAGACTGGACCACATTGAAAGTAAACTATTTTGAAGTAATGGTCTTCTTCTGCTCAAATGAAGACATGGTATCACTCTGAGGGTTCAGCCATATTTAGCCTCTCCTCTACAGAAACGTTGCCTGACATCACACATGTAGTTAAACTCTGAAAATGGAAGGTACCACCCAACATTAGTGCTATTACTCAAAATATCAAAATGTAAATTTAAAAATAAACTTATTCATGGAGACGGGACAAATTTCAAGACATATTCAAGAAATATTATATCATTCAATAAAACATGCTTTGTGCTCTGGTCGCCTACTAGTTACTCCACATGCCAATATATATATAAAAATAAATGGTTGTCTCTGTGGTTCCTGCCCCAGGCCCAACTGATGCAGCGTCAGGCTCAGCAGCCCTGTCTCCCCATCACGACACCCCTACCAATGAACCAGACTGCAGACTGAAATGCGCCTGTGTACTGACATCTAGTGGCGGTGATATGCAACTGCAGGGGTAGAAACTATTTGTGCCAATTCATTTTCAAAGAGCAACGGCCAATGGGGAAACTCCAACACTCAGCTGGCTGACCAGTGGTGTAACTTGATCTGTCAAGTCAGTCAGTCAGTCAGAGACATTCATGTTTATTGAGCTGATAACGCTGTTGCGGTCAAGTCCAAAAACAGAAAAAGGTTATTTACAAAAGAAGCAGCGTTAAGTAAGTGATGGTTGTACCAGCCACTCTACAAAATTAAATGCTAACTGACTTTCACTGAGTGTGAAAATGTGATTCAGATGCCAGTTTTGAGTGTTGATTTGCTCTTGGATAAAATTGTTCATTCAGAATACAGTGCTATTCATGGAGGACCAGGGATGTCACTGGAAAAGTAATGAAGCATTTCCTTAATTTCATCTTTTAATAGGCATTAAAATAGGAATTGTTAAAAGAATTTATAATTGAACTATTTCTCCATCAATAAATACTTAACATTTAACCATCTTAATAATTCCTATTTTCAAACTCAAATATTCATTCATGAATTAATGAATGTATTTATATTCTTTAATGAGTGTTTTATGCTGTTTTTGTAAATTCATTTTCAAATCTGAAGTATTTATTGATGAAATAATCTTTCATTTATAAACTTTTTTACAATTCCTATTTTTAATGCCTATTAAAATATGAAATTAAGGAATGCTTTATTACTTTTCCAGTGACACCCCTGGTCCTCCTCAGATATTAGCCCTATGAATGTTACTGACTTTGTTCAGGTGGATAAACCAACAAAGATGAACAGAGCAAGTGAAAAAGAAAAGAGAAAGTAGTACAAAAGTACAAAATACGTTTTTTTTAATCTTCACCTGAGTTACGAGAAAAAGGGGGAAGTGGCTGACTGGTGTCACAAATATTTGTTGTTTTGTCATCCTCTGCACTAGTTTGACCCTCAGAAACTGGATTATCGTTTAACAGCGTGAGGCTGTGCACGTTGTGTTTGTTTACATGTGGCTGTAGAATACAGAGAAACACAACAAAAAGTTCTTATAATTAAGTTATAATATCATATGGCTGTCAATAATAATATACACTCTGCAATCTACACCCGTCTACGCCAGCCATAGTTGACCATAATTGATCCTAATTAGATATTACATATGAGTGGTTAAAATAGGGTCAACAGAAAGGTTGTGAAATAACAGAGGAGCTGGGAGATTCAAACTCTTTTGTGAGGCAAAGACTCTAAGAATAATATAGTATCCAAGTGTCTGATGTCTAATTGAGCAATATTAGATCTATAAGAAAAAAAGGGGAAGTTGCATCACACCACCTTTGTAGAAAAGTACTGTTAGCAGCCAACTGTGACTTATGTACATTTAAAACATAATGTTACTTCAGGGGACTTCAGGGTTCGTTCACAGCATTGACAAACAAAACCTGTCGTCCATAAAGTAGCCTACCATTTGAACGTCAACATGATCCTGAACATAACTTTGCCCGAAAATATGATAATGTTGAAATAACTTTTTCCTTTTCATATCACGTTTTTTTCCCTCTAATGTCTTTGAGAATTATACTGTATGTAAACCAAATCCCAAACAATGACGGGTTTAAATAAATTAAATTCCATTCTAGTAAAAGCTTATTCTCTTTGTATAATGCTTACCCTGACACTAGACCTGGTTTACATTGCCAAAAAAAATTATTGTCAATAAACCTGTAATTTGGAATCAAACAAAGACAGACATTGACCACTGTGTTTGAAGAATGTTATGAATTAACAGTCTGGTTCAAAGTCTCCCCAACAGTTTGAGACAAACAACACAGACACAGAGTATAAATAGAATGTCAGCATCAAACAAATTACTTCAGACAACCACAACAAATGGTGAGTTGGTTTTATTTATTACCTCTAAATAGAGAAATTATTGAATTTTCACTAATTGAAATTTTCTCAGACAATGGTAGAGGATAAAGTACGTCATTTGCTGTTAAATATAAATAAATAAATATGATTTAACGTTGGACATTGGATATTCCATGTCAGAAGTGGCGCATTAGATGTTTTCAGATTTAGATATTATTGTTTATTTTGAGAGTTGGATATTTACAGAATATTAAACATGTGAAAAAGCTGTGCTTGTATCTGCATATGCAGGTGTGCACTTCTGACCTTAATTCTGTAAGTGTAAATTCAGGTTGGTGGCGTCATGGCTTAAATTCAAGAATTGGTGATAAACAGGCCAATTTCACCAGACAACCACAGCGAGATAAGGAAGGCTACACAGGGGATTTGGAAATACTCATGATGACCATTTGGTGATACAGTCTGCATCCCATCGTGGTTGTTGTCTGCAATATTGGATTCAGTCATTGGCTCAGCAAAGAGCTTCAGACATGGTTTCAGGGACCTGCCTTTCAGACACAGACTGCATCAATAAGTTAGATGCAGACATACAATCAGTATAGTTTGTGTCTTGATCAGACAGTGGTTGTTGAGCACTTCCAGTTTGACAAGGTGCGACAAGGTTTGAGGGTTTGAGGTTTTCAGCTAGGAGGAGTTTTGAGATTTGACAAGTTCGTACGATGTATGATCGTAAAGGGTTTCTGCCCCCTCTTTTCTCTCTTGCTCGACCATCCTCTCTCCAGTACAGAGCTGCCATGGCGTATCAAGGGAGACTCCCCACACTGCTGCTGACTTTCATCCTCTGCTTCTCCCCATGGCCAACCTCTGGATACACATTTTTCAACCATTGGCCAGAATGCTCTTATGACTGTCCAATAAAGCATTACACCTCCACATATGGTGCACAGTGTAGTGATGCCTGTGAAGATCGAGGGTATGGCTACTACTGGTGTAATACCCGAGAAGGGTGGGATTACTGCTCACCATACAACAATGTTGATTATAAAGGCAACACCTGTCACAAAGATTATCCCTGTAGCAAAGATGGACAAGATTACTACTGGTGTTACCTAGAGAAAGGAGGCTGGGACTATTGTGCACAAATGCTACCAAAAACAATGACTCATTACACCAGGTATCAGGAAGAGTGCATTAATCCTTGTCAGTATCATAAGGAAGGGGATTACTACTGGTGCTATACTCAAGACAGCTGGGACTATTGCTCACCTCAACCAGACTACACCTATAAATTTAAGTCTTGTCGCCCAGATCACAATTGTGGAACACGTGGGCAAAGTTATAGCTGGTGCTACACAACATACAACAATGACTGGGATTACTGTGGACTTACTCATTTTGATGGCTGCATGTATTCCCAGCAACGCCGCCGAAAACGGTCCCCTAACAATCCAAACAAAGTCTGTAAGTGGAAAAACAACAACATCAACAAATATATCACTGTAACTGAAGAAGAAGCTCCAAATACCATTGCAAGTTGCACCGGTAATTTACGCAACGAAGCATTAGGGTTAATCGAACGATTTGACAACCAGCTCTTACCAAATCAGCCCAGGTCTAACTTGGTTAGTTCAGAAAATTTTCGCATTGACCTACAGGAAATCATTAAAGTGAATAATCAGATGTGTTACAACCTGCAAGTCCAGCGGAACAAGCAGCGCAGTAAAGGAGAAAGCACCACTGTGTCACAGATCATATGTCCTGTTGACATTCCAAATAAGACCCTGCGTTGGGCCTTTGGGCGCAGTTTAAGGAATCGGTCCAAGATTGTAATAATAACAACAAATGAATGAAATCAATAAATCAGTCAATACCAGATGTTTTCTTCAGATAGTGGGCTTGCATTATTCTGTTTTCATTCTTTAGCTAACTTGTGAAAAAAAAACCTTTGTATCATTACATTTATGAAGTTAACTGTATCTATCTATCTATCTATCTATCTATATATCTATCTATCTATCTATCCTTTAGTGAAACATTACACATGATGCAGTTCACCATATTAAAATTGTGCATTTGTATTTTGAATCAATGTATGTACAAAGTCAATATCTAAACAGCTAAATATGCAACAAACATAACATTTTTGAAGGCCAAATATGTGTAATGTGCATTCCTATGAAAACCATAGTGTCAACAGGCGGATATCCCTGCATACTCCTGTCCACTTAAGTTACCCAGGAATATGTGGGACCATTTATTTCCAATAATTTCTGTTCTACCAAAAGACTCGGGAGGCAGGAATAGAAGGAGCCCACCCCTGGGTTTTTTTTTTTTCCTGCAGGTGCAGTCTAGCCTTTTGTCTGTGTACATGATATTACATATTACAGATACTTTTCACGTAGGTTAGAGACTTGTGTGTAGAGAATCAGTAAACTAGGTTCTTATAGGTTGGGTACCACTGGTCTAATAATTAGGTTAAAATTAGTTAATATACTGCAAATGCTTTTATGTTTATTTATGATTTATTTAGACTAATAAGATAATAGATGGAGATAATGTGCAGACCCCCCCCTGTGACCAATCAATTGGGAGCAGGTGCGACATTGCGTTTTTACTTGTTTTTAATAATATTGAAGTATATTGGACGTATTTTCTCTTTAACTCTACCTAATTTCTGTCCTGATTTCTGTTGTTATATTGTTGTTATATTGCCTACTGAGCCTGCTGCCTGTAGTGTGCTACTTAGTAAACTTTGTTTTTAAAGGTGCTATATAAATAAAGCTATTATATCATTATTATTATTATTATTATTATTATATATTATTATTTGAGATATGAACTGTATTCATTTACACCTTTTAAATGTCTGACTATAAAGCATCTCAGTGTAAATATTTTGCAATACTTCACACTACATAAGTCCTAGTTTGTGTGTTGCAACCTGCCCATCACCTTCACCCATCACTTTCCTTCTGTTTTTCTACTCAAATCTTCAATCTGCAAGTCAGGATGAAGAGACAGTTAAAATGTCAAAACAGTTCCTCAAAAACAAAGCACAAGGTTAGAAAAGGTCTTTTTCCAGGGATAAAAGAAAAGAGACCAAAACCGAACTAAAGTAGAGTGAATATTGGACTTACATTTATCAGGTGGAAACAAACACAAATCCAGATGTGTTCTGGTTGTGTAAACTGGCAACTGTTTGCCAGCACATTATCCACAAAGAATATGGTGGTTAGATGTGCTGTTGTTAGTGTGTTTTGGTGGTTTCCTGCACCCATGGCCAAACATTCATTAATTCTTAGTAGGCTTTCAACACAAAATACAGCCACAGCTACATATGTTTGTAAAACATAGCTAGCATGTAAGTTTAAAAAGTGAAAAACTTCTTTAATATTTCCCATGCCACATGACACTAAGCATTAATTCATACTCAATTTTCATAGCTTCAAAATGTGCACTGCACTACAGCTACAGAAACATCCTGTGAAAAGTTATGAAAGATTGAAGCCTATCTGTAGACTTCTGGAAATGAACTACAACCAACCTGCCAACTGCTAACTACCTAACAACATGCTGCACATTAACACTTTGTTCGAATTATGAGGGGGCAATTGGGGGATTGGGGGTGTGACCCCTAAGTGTTTGATTAAGACTTGTACCCCCAAAATAGGTAAAAACCTCAGATAAGGAGTGTTGAAACATTTATATATCCCTCTTGCCTGCAATTGTACATATTACAATATATTCTCCATATTCATGCCTGGATCATTTTGTTCTACGATTTTAAACGACCCCAAGTGGTGTCTATTTCTTAACCTTAACATTAGCTAAACATTAAAAAAAAAAAATAAAACACCAAAAGAGAGAAAAGTGATATCAGCTACTTTTAATGACACAAATTGTTTGTTAAATTTTAAAGAGAAGTCAAGAAAAACATTAACCACATTTGTGAAAATTTGAAGACAGAGACCTAAGAAAACTTGCTAAACCACGAGTTAAATCTTCAAAATCAATAATAAGACAAAGAAATATTGGGCCACTCAG